TAATATAGCTACATTAATGTGTTTATATTGTAAATAGCAATCATATTGATTTGGAAGGACTTCTTTGAGGTGACTTTGCTGGACTTTTTGAAGGGTTCTTGGCTGGAGTCTTCTCAGGAGTCTTGGCTGAAGTTTGTCTGCTTTCTTAAAGAAAATGTCCAAGGAAGTTTGGACAGATGTTCTCCAGGGAGATGAGCGACGCAGCGAACTTGTTCGCTGGCGTGGCATGGCATCAGATCAAGTGCTGTAAAGTCGAAACTGACATCAGAAAGTTGAAACAGGGTGTCAATTTATAAACACTGTAAGTGCGAAACGTTTCAACTTAAAATGTTGTAAGTTGAGGATTGCCTGTATTCTATTCTTTTAATCTTTTGCTGATTTAAAATAATTCATGAAGAAGTACAACATATAAAGTATCAGATTCATGAATTAGTATATATTTTATATGGCCATTTCTGAGTAAATGTAAAACCTGGTGCAGCTTCCCATTGTTTGTTGGAGGTACTTCAAAAAACTAAGACAGGTAAGAGCATTATATAGGAATTCTGAAGTATTTAAAAACTAATGTTTTAAGAGTATAAAATGTTATAAACTCTTCAGAGTGTCTTGCACCAGATTCTTTTTAAAAATCAGGGAAATATTCAAACAGTTCTACAAGCTGATCTTTTCCAAACTGTTCCTGCATCAGTATTTTATCAAACTGCTACTTGTAACAGAAGCTGCTCAAGATATCAACACTCCCTTACAGTGCTGCTGTTGCTAGGCTGCATGATGCTTGTAGGCAAACAACCCTCAGTAACTGTACATTTTTCCCACCTCTGAGCTAAAATTAGTCTACCAAATATTGCATAAAATAGTTAATAAACCTAGATGCAAAGGACAATGATAGTCACTAAATATCTGATGGAAGATTCATGGCATTGTCAGCACAGAACTACCACCTGCAAGAAAGATGCTTCTGTTGGTAACAGGTGTTCTGCAGTCAAGACAGCATGTGCAGTGTGGTGGAAAGGATTTTGTTTAGAGGTAGAAATTCCAGGAAGCCAAGTGATTTAGTCAGTGAACACCAATACACAGCATCTTCAGTGCCCTACCAACAGATCTCAACCCTTTAAGCAGTTCTCAGGTGGTAGGTGATTTACTTATTCAGACTGCCAAAGAAACCTTGCACTTGAAAACAGATGCAAGAGTAGTGTCAAAGATAGAAATCAGTCCCTTCAGCAGGTGGAGAGAGACCAAACTCAATTATGCAAGCCTTTCAAGAACCAGACCCTACCAACCCAGGTGGAAGAAAATCTGTATCTTACTGTTAATCTCATAAACCAACTCAATGTTGCCTTCAACTCCAACTACTCAAAAATAAAAAACAATATTTGAATTATGTCACAGGTCTAAACAAGCCTCAAACTTGTATTTACACTTATACTGTGGGAAGATAAGCACAGAAAGTAAGTCTTGAAAACGAGCTGTAATACAGTTTAGTACTTTTGCTGTACATATGGACAGCTTTCATTCATTCCATCCAAGAAGAGCACACACCAACTGCAGATGTTTCCTCAGACTGACAAAGGGTATTTATACTCAAAAGCTTGCAAAGAATTTTTCCAACTATTTAAGTGGTCTAATAAAAGATATCAGATTTACCCAAAGCACCTTGTCTGCGTATGTCCTTAGACCAACACAGCTATAACCTATATCCCTGTTAAAATAACTAGATGTTTTCATTCTTAATACTAATGCTTTATAAAAACTGGGCAGCTTATTTAACTGCAGAAGTGTAGTTCTCAGGCCAGCGAGTAAGAGTTGTCTAATATTCACCCAGATTGTGAAATTTGGAAGGGGAAAAAAATCACATTCCAAAAGGAATAAGTAATGAGGAAGTAAGACAGGTCCACCCTAGGCAATAAAGAAAGTTTTGAAAACACACTCGTGCTCAGCCAAGTAGCATAGGAATCAGAGATAAGAAGTACCTCTTACCTTTCTGAAGAGTACTGGGAAAGGAGAGAGTAACTTTCTCATCTTCATTCTGATAATTGAATCCTGTGGCATGTATTTCTGAAATGGAAATAGAACTCTGTTCAAAATAAGAGCTGAAAAGTGTTTCCTTAATTCAAGAGCGCTTTACATTTACACTTCACAGTGAATTGGACCCATCTGATTAATCTTGATTACAGCATATTATGTTCAAGATTTCAATTAACACAGAACAATATAAATCTAAACAATAAAAGAAGTATCACCTATTGACAGCATTCAATGTTGTATTTATCTTGCCCTGGGCAACAATTGTAAGCATGTTTATGTTGCATCAAAGATCATAAAGTTTCCATGCATCTATTTTACTCCAGGTCACCACTTAATAAACTATTCCCTCCCTACATGCACACATTTATTTCTTTGTAGATGTGTGCATGTGTGGGTGTGTGCATGCACGTGCACGCATACACACACACTTCCAAGGAAATATTGAATTTGTAAAAAATTTGGGAAGGCTCTCAGAGCTTAAAGCAGGGGTGGCCAACATGTGGCCCATGTATCACAAATGACATAGGCAGCCTCTGTGTGGCACAGCTGACTGGGGGGGGACAGAGCAAGGAGAAGGAAGCACAGCAGCAGATCAGACAGGAGAAGGGGATTGGAAGGGGAGGGTGCAGGGCTGATTTGTGGCACACCTGCCAAAAAAGGCTGGCATTCCACTAGCTTAGAGCAACAAGAGATGTATATTTAAACTCAGAGGAAAGAATTTTGTATTGCACAGTACCGAACACACTACAACACAACCCTGATGCACAGGGAAAATAAAAGTGAGATAATCTCATTTAAACGGAAATGCAACACTTTTACACAGAAAGAATAAAAACTTGGTCCAAAAGATTTGTTTAATGTTATCCAATCATCCCCAAAAACAGGATATACAAAAATTATTTTAGAAACTAGAATTTGATTTGGAAAACCAACATACAATTTTCCAAGTACAAGTTCTTTAACATTGAAAAAAAATGATTTCATATAAGAATGATCTTCAAAAACATGAACCGTGTCTCTTTGTGACTTTATAAAGCAATTGAGAAAACTCCCAATTACAATTGGGTCTACTAGCCATAACTGTAATTAAACAGTATTTGCAATTTACTGGAAGAAATTCACACTTTCATAATGAATCTAGACTGAATGGAAGGATGAAGAAAGCCAGCATTCAGATACCAAGCTTGTCCTGCAGGTGACAGCCAGCTTAGTCCCGAGAGAGAGAGCCTTCTGTTCTTGTTCTTTTCTAACAAATTCATGGCAAGGTACTTGCTGTGCCTGAAATGAACTGCTTTCAGCCCTCCTTAGCATAGAAAACTGCTACACTGTGGAAACCTCAAGATGAAATCCTAGGCACTTCACTCCACCCCTTGTCCACACACTAATAATCCATCACTAACAAGCTTTGAGAAACAAAGCTGTATGCAGTCAACAGACGAATGCTATTTTTAATGTAGTCCAGTGTTCTGAGCCAGTAAATTTCCACTTAACACATTCAATGCATATGTGTTTATGTTATGTCACATAAGAGCTAAATTTATGGCCTCCTTCCACCCCTACAGCCACACCCATGCCTCACAGATATTAAACCTGTTCTGTCCCTTGTAGAGGCTTGAGACCTCTTGGCTTTAGTCTCCCTTTCCTCTGGCTGAATAACTCCAGCCCTGGCCCACTGATTTGGCCCCTACATCTCACGTTGTGGGCCGCTGGTTCCTAGCCCTCAGGGTGCCTTACCCCAGCCTGGGTTGCCCTCCCTGTCTCTCCTCTCAGCCCTCTGAATCCCTTACCCTGGGCTGAGCTGCTTGCTTCTCTAGCCCTCAGCCCTCTGGTCCTTGACCGTGACCCAGGCTAGACTGCCTAATGCAGAGTGCCCTACCAGGCACGCCTCGTGGCCTCCAGACCTTCCCCACAGCCACAACTGGGTCCTCTGGCAAACAGCTTGAATTACAACATAAATACACTGTTTTCAACTAAAAGGCTATCCAGCTCTGGGTTGATGACTCATTCAGGCCATCAGCTTCCCTTAGTCCAGTCCCTTCCCATCCCCAGCCCCCAGCAGCTCCAGGGAACAGCTCAGATGCCTGCTAGTCAATCCCTACAGGCATCTCCCTCAGGAGCTCCTCTCACCCTCCAGTACACAAGACAGACTGCTGGTTCTGGCTCAGGCCCTGGGATTATGTACCTGGAAGCCAGTCCCCCCTTTTGGTCATGTGCCTTCCCAAGTCCTGCACAGGGCTTTCCCTGCCAATGAAGGGCCAGTCTGCCCTCTATGTCTTCTTAAAGGGAAAGGAGCCTCCTGGTTTCCTGCCACAGTTCCCACTCCTCCCCTTCTCTTACACCCAAGTAACACGGTCTGAATCCTCTGTGACAGGTATTCAGCTTGAAAATTAAATAGAATAAATACCAACCTCAAATGACAAAGGATGCAAAAAACTGCATAAATATATTAGTCTTACTAGCTGGCTCCAAGACACTTTATTCAGGGATTAAACAGCATTACTTTCAATGGGAAATTACAGAACAAAATAATTCTACATTTAAAAAAATCTAGTAGTGAACTCAATTGCAAGAAGAAAAAAATAACTTTTTAATGGACTGATGTACTGAGAAGTTTAGACTACTGGTTTACAGTCTACAATTACTTTAAACAGGGGCTCTCAGAGTTTTGCCCAAGGAAAAGCAATTTCTAAGGCACAGTCCTGGATGGCAGGCTACAAAGGGGCTTGTGGGCTAACACTTTACGAACCTTCAGTCTACCCCATTCAAAAACAGGCCTGGGATATTAATATACAAGCCTAAAAAAAGTCTTCTGGACATTTTCACCAAATTCACCCAAGAAAAGAGGTGATCAGGCCTCTTTTGTTCTATTAATTCTATAGAATGTAGAGGAATAAAAGGAAACACTATGCATAAAATGGAGGTGGCAGTCAACTGCTAAGTACAGAGCAAGACAGTTAGTGGTGTAGAAGTCTGAAAAATTAGGTGCAATACTGGGCTTCAAGGTAATGAGAGAATGAAACTAGCTGCTGATTACGCCATTAAGAGACTCAGTGGATTTTGACCCTTGCTATCTTTAGAGTTCAATGAAGAACAAACCTATTGCAATATGACAGTGAGATAGCTTTCTCTGTAGAGCAAAATGGAGGGGCTGAATATTTGTGTCAAAAGCTTGCACTGGGCTTCCTGGAAAGTGCACTTCCCAGTGGAGCTGTCTATGTAAACTAAGGAATCAAAACCATTAAAAAAAAACCTACCTATACTTTGCATATCAGGACTGTGGCACAGCAGAAGCCATTTGTCTTTTCATAACTTGTAACTAAACAAAACTGACTGCAGTCACAGATTCAGCAACACTACAAATTTACAATTTCATCCTACTGAAGCTAGGGAACCTTGAAGTATGCAAAGAAGGAAGGTCTTTGTCAAAGTTGACAATGAATATTTAAATTTGGTAGTGTTATCTGAAGGCACTACCACACACATGCACATACTCTTTGCTACAACATATTTGTTTTTATTAATGACATAATGATATCATTACCTCCATCCCTGATATCTATCTCTATCCCTGGGATCTACCTCTATCCCTGGGAAAATCCTAGAAAAAATGATCAAGGAACAAACACATCTGTGGGAGCCCGCTAGCTAATGTGATGCGGAGGGGTAACCAACATGGGTTTATAGCAGGCAGGTCCTGCCTGACTAACCTAGTTTCTTTTTATGACAAGGCCACCAAATGTTTAGATGTAGGATTCGAGGTAGAGTCAATGCAGGAGTCGAGGTGGGTGTTATCTATCTGGACTTCAAGAAGGCCTTCAACACTGTTTCCCAGACCATCCTTATAAACATATTGAGATTTGCCTTAGATGATCATACTGCAGAATGGGTAGCAAACTGGCTCAAGGGTCGCACTCAGAGAGTGGTGGTGGATGGGTCGGTGTCAACCTGGAAAGATGTGTTCTGGGGCTGGTGCTGTTCAAAACCTTCATCAGTGATCTGGATGAGGGGGTGAGAAGCACCAGGTACAAATTCATAGATGACAGAAAAATATGGGGTGAAGCTAACACCCTGGAGAGAAGGAACCCAGACCCAGGATGACCTAGACAGGCTGGGGAAATGGGCAGAAAGCAACAGGATGCAATTCAATAAGGACAAGTGCAAGGTGCTGCATCTAAGGAGAAAGAACTGCCATCATACCTATAGGCTGGGGGGGCAACTTTCTCAGCACCACTGAGGCAGAAAGAGATCTTGGAGTCACTGTAGCCTCCAGGATGAACAGGAGTTGTCGATGTGATGAAGCAGTTGGCAGAGCCAATCGCACCTTGTCGTGCATCCGTAGGCATTTCACAAACAGGTCCAGGGAGGTGATTCTCCCTCTCTAGGAGGCACTGGTCAGGCCGCAGCTGGAGTACTGCATCCAGTTCTGCATGCCACAGTTTAAGCGGGATGTGTACAACCTGGAGAGGGTCCAAAGAAGAGCCACTCATCTGATTAGAGGCCTCCAGGGAAGGCCCTATGAGAAAAGGCTAAGGGACCTTAACCTCTTCAACCTCTCCAAGTGAAGGCTGAAAGGGGAACTTGTGCCGGCATACAAATTCATAAGGGGGGAGCAACATGAAGTAGGCGATGATCTGTATACCAGGGCACCCCCTGGAACAAGGAACAATGGCCATAGGCTACTGGAAAGAAGGTTTAGACTGGACATTAGAAAAAAGTTCTTCATGGTCAGGGTTGCCAGGATCTGGAATGGGCTTCCAAGGGAGGTGGTGCTCGCCCCATCCTTGGGGGTCTTCAAGAGGAGACTGGACAGGCACCTGTCTGGGTTCACATGACCCCAGGTTTGGTTACTATTTTCTTGCTTGCCAGGGGCAGGGGGTCGACCTAGATGGCCCACTGAGGTCCCTTCCAACCCTAGAATCTATAAATCTATGATATGGCTCCATTACTTTAAAAAAGTAGTCTTATCAATGCAGAAGATTTCAGGAACTGTTTTAACCATGACAAATCAAATTGGTCAAATCTCTGCCTGA